TAGCATATTAAATTGGACTCTCTTAATGGATTCCTCATATACAAAAATACAAAAAAAATTTTTTAATTGTGAGTTATTTATAGCATAAGGTTATCCTGAGATTGATCAGTTAAGAATGTATTTTGTTGTTTTTTTTTTAAAGATTTTATTTATTTATTTGATGGAGAGAGAGAAAGAGAGCACAAGTAGGCAGAGCAGCAGGGAGAGGGAGAGGAGAAGCAGCTTCCCTGCTGAGCAGAGAGCACTTTGTAGGACTTGATCCCAGGATTCTGGGATCATGACCTGAGCCAAAGGCAGACACACTGAGCCACTCAGCCACCCCAAGAATGTATTTTGTTAAAAATTTCTGGAAGGCTTTTGCTAAGACAGTGATGTATAAACCGAAATTATTGATAGGTAATTTAACGTGATAAATTAAGGAATAGAGGATATTTAATCTATTTCTTTTATATGAATTTTTGAGTATATTAATTTTCCAATTGTTACAAAAATGGAAATTAGATCTTTAATTTTCTTCAGTGTTTGCAAATCACTTTCCCTTGTACTTCTCTTCTTTTCTTTTTTTTTTTTCCAAATATCATCAGTTACCATTAAATAAAAATAGACTAAGTTGAATGTTATAGGCTACCTTTTGGTAATATTTTTTAATCTTCCTTTTGAATGATAGGGTTTTCTTGGAAGGGTTCTTCACTGTATTTTTTTTTAATTTAATTTTTTTTAAATTTATTTATTTGACAGACAGAGATCACAAGTAGGCAGAGAGGCAGGCAGAGAGAGAGAAGGGGAAGCAGGCTCCCCGCTGAGCAGAGATCCCGACGCGGGGCTCGATCCCAAGTCCCCGAGATCACGACCCGAGCTGAAGGCAGAGGCCCAATCCACTGAGCCACCCAGGCGCCCCTCTTCGCTGTATTTTTATCACAGTATAATTACATACAGCAAATTTTATTATACATTTCTACCTATTTTAACAAATGTATATAGTTGTGTAAACACACCACAAGCAAAATCTACACGTTTCATTATGCCAAAAAATTCTCCCATACTCATTTGTATTCAGTCCCTCCTTCATCCCTGAGCACTGATCTATTTTCTGTCCTTATAGTCTTGTCTTTGAAATAATGTTCTATAAATGGAGTAACACAGTCTTTTGAACCTGGCTTCTTTCACTTAGGATATTAGAGAACCATCCAAGTTGTGTGTACCCTAGTTCATTCCTTTTTATTTCTGGGTAGTATTCCCCTATATGGATGTGTCACAGATTATTAATCCATTTCTCAGTTGAGGAATGTTGGAGTTGTTTGCAATGTTTGATGATTACTGAGCAACTGCTGTAAAGATTTGTTTTCAAGTTTGTGAGTGAACACAGCTTTCTCTCTTTTTTTATTATGTTAAATTAGCCAGCCTATAGTACTCATTAGTTTTTGACGTAGTGTTCAACAATTCATTAGTTGCATAGAACACCCAGTGCTCATCACAACACATGCCCTCCTTAATACCCATTACCTGGTTACCCCATCCTCCTACCCTCCTCCCTTCTGGAACCCTCAGTTTGGTTGCCAGAGTCCAGAGTCTCTCATGATTTGTCTCCCTCTCTGACTTCTTCCCATTCAGTTTTCCCTCCCTTCTGCTGTGGTCCTTCACGCTATTCCTTGTTTCACATGTGAGTGAAACCATGTGATAATTGTCTTTTTCTGCTTGACTTATTTCACTTAGCATAATCCCCTCCAGTTCCATCCATGTCAATGCAAATGGTGGGTATTCATTCCTTCCCGTGGCTGAGTAATATTTCATTGTGTGTATGGACCACATCTTCTTTATAACATTCATCTGTTGAAGGGCATCTCGGCTCCTTCCACAGTTTGGCTATTGTGGACATTGCTGCTATGATCATTCTTTTCACTACATCTGTAGTGCCCCTTCTTTTCACTATGTCTGTATCTTTGGGGTAAATACCTAGTAGTGCAATTGCTGGGTCGTGAACATAGCTTTCATCTAACTTGGGCAAATAATTTTATAAGAAACTGCCAAACTCTTTTCCAAAGTGGTTGTAACATTTTGCATTCCCTCCAAAAGTGTGTTAGTGTTGCTCTGAATCCTTGCAAGTTCATGATATTCTCTCTCTTTTTCTCTCTTTTCTTTAAGGCATTCCACTAAGTATGGAGTTGTGTATCATGGTAGTTTTAGTTTCATTTCCCTGATGACAAATGACATTGAGCATCTTTCTCTGTGCTTTTTGCCATCGATATATTTTCTTTGGTGAAACATATGTTCAGCTCTTTGGTTCATTTTTAAAATCTGTTATTTTTTATTATTGGGTTTTGAGTTTCTTTGTAATTTTAGATATAAGTGTTTTATGAGATATGTGATTTGTAAAAATTTTCTCCTTGTCATGACTTTCAAAGACTAGACATTCTTAATTTAGATTAAATCCAGTTTATTTGTTTGTTCTTTGATTCATTGTGCTTTTGGTTTTGTATGTAGAAATCATGGCCTAATTGAAGGTCACAAAATTTTCTTCCTTTTTTTTTTTTGGTCAAGTTTTAGAATTCTAGGTTTTATATTTATATCTGTGATTCATTTTGAGAATTTTTTGGTTCAGTGTAAGTTTGGATAAAGGTTTTTGTTTTGTTTTGTATTATAAATTTGTTTGTTTTTTGCATATGGGTATCCAGTTTTTCCAGCACTATTTATAGTTGGAAAGACTGTCCTTTCTTCCACTGAATTGCCTTTTTGCCAACAGACTCTATATGTTTCAGACTATTTCTGCATTCTTTTTTTCATTCCATTCTTTTTCATGTTTGTTCTTTCTCCAACACCACTCTCTTGATTACTGTAGCTCTATATTGTCTGGATGTGGATCTTTTACCTTTGAAGAAAATGTATTTCCTGCTATTTTTCTTTTTTTCTTTTTTTTTTTTTTTGTAGTTTTCTCTTAATATAAATTAGGTTAGCTTAGTTAATAATGTTCATGTCTTCTATCCTTGGTAACAATTTGTCTACTTGTTCTCTCAGTTGCTGGGAGGGTGTGTTGAAGTCTCCAGTTGTATTTGTGGATTTGTCTTTTTCTCCTATCAGTTCTGTAGTTTGGGTTCATGTACTTTGAAGTGCTGTTGTTAAGCACATACAAATTTACATCTGCTATGTCATTCTGGGAAAGTGACCCCTTCATAATTAAGTAATGTCCATCTTTATACCTATCCTGAAGTCTGGTTGGCATGATCTTGATAGATCTATTTCTGTTTCCTTTTCTTTAGTATTTGCATAGTATCTCTTTTCTAGAATTTTATTTTTAACCTGTTTTTGCCTTTATATTTAAATGGGTTTATGTACACAGCAAGTTTGATCTTAGTTTTTCAATCCAATCTGATTATCTCTATTTTTAACTAATGTGTTTATAAGGTTTATATTTAATGTAATTACTAATGTGATTTGATTAAAATTCACCATAGTTTTAGCTGTTTTATTTTTTAGTCTTTTCTTTTGTTTCTTCCTCCCTCACATTTCATTTTTGATTATTCTGTAAAGATAATGCATTGTCAATAGTTTTGCTTTAGATAGTTATCTTTTGAACAACTAAAAATAAAGTTGAATTTTGTGTTTATCTCCATTTATTCCATTTCTAAAACCATATATTTCTTTGTGTGTATGTTATATCTCACCAAAGTTTTAAAAAACGTATTGAAATTTTTCTTCTCTACCAGCACATACACCACCAATTTCTGCCTTCTCCTGACTTTGTTAAAAATGGATTGTGAATGGGCAACTAGGAATATGCTTGATTTTTTAGACTTCTTTTATGCTTACTTAGAATTTTAGAACCACAGGATTGAATATGTCATAAGAGTTCCTTTGGCCTCGTTTTCAAAGTGTGACAGATTTACTTCAACTGATCTTATTTTAAGATTCATCTAAAGTTCCCTTTTTGAGGTTGTAACTTAAGCCTGCTTGGTCTGTGGGCTTCTTTTGCCTCTATTTCATTGCCCTGCTATTGTGTGAGGAGAGAGAACATCAGGACCACACTGTCTGCTTTTCAGTGTTCTCCTTTTAGTAACCTCACACACGTATGAAGACAGTTACTGAGTCCCTTCTTGCCATTCTCCTTTACAGGTAAACAGTCTGTACTTATTTGAGTTTTTTAAACAGAAAGATCTACTTTTCGTCTATATATTCTTAACCATTTCTGTAATATTTTCCCCTGGATATCTCACGTAATTATTTATTTTAAAGATTTTATTTATTTATTTGACAGACAGAGATCACAAGTAGGCAGAGAGGCAGGCAGAGGAGAGGGTTAAGCAGGCTTCCTGCTGAGCAGAGAGCCTGATGTAGGGCTCGATCCCAGGACCCTGGGATCATGACCTGAGCCAAAGGCAGAGGCTTAACCCAGTGAGCCCCCCAGGCACCCCTCATGTAATTATTTTTGTTAGGGCATATATAAATAAATGGTAGCAGTTTTCACCAAGATGAAAGAGCCAGAATCTCTGTGTGGCTAATGTTAACACTGGGAGAATGCCAGGGCACCAAATGAATTGGTGTAAATTCACGGGGTCCCCCTTCCTTTGGCAAGTTTGCTCACTGTCCTGACCCTTACAGCCCAGTGCTGAACTTAAACTCTCTCCCTGAAGCTGTATGGCTAATTTGAAATTGTAATTTCATACCTTTATGAAAGCCCAGGGACTCTGAAATTTGGAGGATGTCACCCAAAAGTAATGTTCACCTGAGGACCCAGGTTATTCCAGAGCCTACTGAATGCAGCACCCCTGGGCATGTCACTTGTATAGGGATGGGCCAGAAGGAAAAGAACAGACTGGAAAACCTAGATTTTTTCTGAGCAAACCATATTCAGTTGTGAAAAAAAAAATACAATTGGGCTGGTCCTGTAGTAGAACTTATAAACACTTGTCAGTTATGAGGGTAACTGCAAGATTTATTTTCAAGCTTTCCCCTTGATTTCATGTCCAGAGCATAACATTTTCTTTTTGTCTTTTTCCCCCCTCAAGGGGTGCTACATCCATTGTGTACAGATGCAAACAGAAGGGGACCCAGAAGCCTTATGCTCTCAAAGTGTTAAAGAAAACAGTAAGTTTATTTCATTATATAACAGCATCTCTAAGGGATCTGTGACCTGGAGAAGCCAGGAGCCCTGATTCACAGGATAAAGAGGCCAGAGAACTGCTGTGTACAGCTAACTCACTTGAATCTTGAGCATGAAAATGCAGCCAGATGAGTTGTTTTCTAGTGGAAACTCCATGACTCTTTGAAAGCGACTGGATCTCAGACTGGATGTGGTTGTGGGGAGAAGTGTGGCAAGGAGAAACCTTTAGAACTGGCAGGTAGACCTGGTATACTTTGTATACTAGTAATGTACATATGTACATATATGTGTACACATGTCCATATATGTGTGTTATGCCCCAGTAATGGGTCCGTGATTAAAGGAGCGAGACTGATAAAAGCGAAGGTCAAGCAAAGCTTTATTTTGCGCCAAGCGTCAAGAATCAAACCGAACGTTCCGGGATGTACCTCTTACAAGAGAGGGCGACCCTTCTCTGTTTCACAGACTAGCTTTTAAGGGCAAAGGCCATGCGGTCGGGCTTGGTCATGCACAGGTGACCAATGAGATTGTATCACACACGGGAAACTCCACAGTGATGCTAGGTGACCAATTGAATTACAATTTACCCTAGTAGACCTTTGAACTGGCCTGTTACACCTTGATTAGGATTGGTGCCAAAAAGGCTACCAAAGGGCAGGGGGCCCATACTCCTTGGTAGCTAGGGAGACAGTATGCAACCCCCCACGGATCGGATGTCTCCACTTGGCCTGACCCACCCTCGTATCTGGGCTTTGTTACCTGGAGCTGGTTTCTGGGACTTGTTTTTAAGTAAGTTCCCTGGGGGAAGGGGAGCAGGGACAGTTTAAGAGTTAAACAACAAGATTTTTGTTTAACCTCAATGGACGCCTCCGGCTAAAATATAAAAATATAAAATAGGTCCTTACAATGTGTACAGATATAGAATCTCCAATCACAGTTTAGTATAGTAGACATGCTTGCTATTTAAAAAAAATACCTAAATGAAACACAAATAGATGTATTTGTGAAAGGAGTCATCAGCTTCTAACTTGATTTTCAAATGTTGGGTTTGCTTCAGTTAAGTGCAAATAGACAAATACTGTTGTTTCTAGGACTGAGCCTGCTCATTTAAGAAGTCTCTATTTGAACAAGAAGGAAGGATTGGGTTTTCATATTGCTTCTTTTTGCCATATGCTCATAGGTGAGCCAAGGGGACAAAGTTACTCTGGCTCATCTCCAATGAGGTACAGCAGGTGAGAGTTCACGATAGAAGTGGCAGCATCTGAAACCAGCATTCATGGTAGTCCCTGTATCCCAGAGAGTGTTTGTCAATGCAGTGCGTGGCTACTCTCTGTCTTGAAAGAGTTTCCCTTTATAAAACCACAAAAACATAACATATTCCTTTGTAGCACATTCTTCCTTTCTCAAATTCTATGTGAACACATATGTGAAATATATATACTTCTGAAAACCCAGCTGTAAAGTATGCTGAGGAGAGAAATATCATAAATCTTGAAATCAAATGATACCTCTTTTAGGCTGAAGGATTTTTTTTTTTCTAATATCACCAATTGTTTATGTATTGTCTGGCCCAGGGAAATTTTAGAAATTTTAGAATCTCATACAATGAAGAGAATAATGGCAGGGTGTTTTCAGTTGAGTAGAAGTAGAATGACATTTTGAAACAATCTGTTAGAATTTAAAGCCAGAGCAAACTAACAAAGACAGTTTAAGTGAAGAATAATAATTTAAATGGCAGTTGCTACTATAAACCCAAAGGGATTTCCTATTTGGTGTAGGCAATGATTTAAGTACTCCAGAATGTAGAGGAATCTTTTGATTGATAAGATTTGGAATTTTCTCTTAAATCAATTTCTTAGAGTCATAACATTTATTTGAACTAAGGATTATTACAATTTTATGAAGTGGAACTTGTAAGTAAATATCTACTTTTTATGAAGATAAGTAAGCATGTTTTAGCAGTGGTCACATAGATGTTTTCGGACTTGATTATATTCTTTCTTGCTGGTTAAAAAAATTGTCAGTAAAATTTGTGAGTGGTTGTTTTGTTTTCATAGTTGAGGAAACTTTGAAAGGGATTAGCTGTACGAATGTGTAGGAGAAGAAACACTCAGAAATGACGTTTGAATGTTCAGAATCCCAAAGGACAGAGAGCTGGTTGAGAAAATACTGGTTTATGTCAAAAATCTTTGGTTGAATTAGAATAAGAGACAGGAGAAGACATTTTGTGAGTTCGTGAGTTATTCACTGGGAAAGTAAAGCTCTGGTTTGCCCTTGCTGTCTTCTCTTCTCCACCTCTGTTTGTGGAAACATCTTCCTCAGAAGACAGGCAGGAAGAAAATGTGGATGGGAACCAAGTGTCAGATGGAGCGGTGGAGCGGTGCTTTAAGGCAGATGTTGTCAAACACAGTCACTGCTGTGCCAAATGGAATGAGAGAAAATCCCCTGGAGAAACCCAAGCTTTGAACATGAATTGGATGGAATCTCCAGCATTGTCTCCTAGAATAAACCATGCACAGAGATGTGTAAATGAGAGAATAGGAGGCAAAACCTCAAAAAGCAATTGCCTCCAGCGCTTCCTTTCTTATAGGTCATGAGGACGGAACTTCCTTCTCTAAATGAAATGAATGAAGCCTAGGAATCGCTTTACAGAAGAAAAGCAATGCAAAGAAAACAAACCATTTTCCTAGTGAATTCAGTTAAAGATCTGCTCTTTCAGGAAAGAGGGGATTATAGAAATGGAATTATTTAATCAGTCTATTTATTAGATTGAGCCACATAAAACTGCCTCTCTTAAATCATTTTTTTTCCTACAAAAATGACAGTTTTTTGTGGTTCAACTAATGACTTTGGGACCACTATATTACTTCACTGGATAATTCCTCTAGTCTTCATTTTATGACTAGACCTAAACCTAAAAAGTCCGAAAGATTGTCTATCTATCCATCTACCTATCATCTATTATCAGCTAACTGTAAGAATTTCCTGAATCTGCTGTAATAAACTACCACAAACTGGGAAGCTTAAAACAATGGAAATTTATTCTCTTAGAGTTCTGAGGCCAGAAGTTTGAAATCAAGGTTTTGGCAGGGTCGATACTTTCTAAGAGTGCTCAAGGAGAACTTGTTCCATGCCTTTCTCCTGCTCCTGGTGACAGAAACTTGCCTTGCAGATGTGTCACTCTAATCTCTGCCTCTGTTGTCATGTGGCCACTTTCTCCCTTTGTGTCTGCATCTCATCTTCCCTCTATACATTGTCTGTGCCCAAATTTTCCTCTTAGAATGACACCATTCCTGTTGGATTAGGGGCAGACCCTACTCTACTATGACTTCATCTTAAATGAACTTATATCCACAACAACTCAATTTCCAAACCAGGTCACTTTTGGAAGTACTGCTGGTTAGGACTTCAATATAATCTTTTTTGGGGGGATAAAATTCTGCCCATAATACTATCTATAAGAAAAGACTTCCGAGATGAATTTCAAAATACGTATTCAATCTGTTATCTGAAGATAAGTGAAACTTATATCATATTCAAGAAAGTTAATAAACCTAAGAAAACTCAATCCAGTTTATAGGTGATTAAATTCACATATGAACACTTTTAAGTCCAAGAAAGATTTCTCATCTCTTTTACAATTATTTGATAACAATAATCCTCTTTCCCAAGATCTGTTTAAATACTTTTTAAAGGCAGTTTGCCCAAATTTTATTTTGTGGCAATATGATGTACCTTTCTATAGCTTAATATTTGGAGAAGGACTTAGTTTACATTGGCAATAAGAGACTTACTCCTAATTCATCACCGAGAATCCGTTAGGCACTTACATGTCTGGGTGATAGACACTGACTCTCATTTATCCACAGGAAGATAGACTAAAGCACTAGCTCTTATGGAGAAATCCTTATCTCTTTGGTCATCAGGTACAGGACAGAGTTAATGCTTATAACAAACACAAATTGTCATGTTTAGACAATTGGGTATTTTGACTAATAAAAATGTCTTTATGGGAAATTAATGTGTAATTATAATAAAAATATTTTTAACTGACATATTTTAAATATGGATATAATACCATATACTTTATATATAGATAACTATATTTCATAGAATTAGTATACATCAAAATACATATTAACCCAAGTAATAATGTCTGCAACTTACTTTCAAATACTTAAGCAACAAAAAAGTGTGTGAGTAGTTTGTGTACATATGGGGAGAGAAAGAAAATATAGCAACAATCAACAATTATTGAATATAAGACAATATACTAGCATCCATGCTGGTATTTCAATATCTCAGTATATATGAAAATTCTCATAGCCAAAAATTTAGGTTAAAACATACTTCAATATTGACATCCTATTTTATCATAAATTAGCATTTCTTCTGGCCATTCAAAAAGCACTTCAAAATATTACAGTTTCTAAACGTTATGGTAAACTCCAGTGACTCTCTCTATTGAAGTGCCAGAAAATAGTTGAACCATCTCTTTACTGAAAAACCTAGACATTTCCAGAAGCAATATCTGTTCACCTCATTGTGTCATTAATACAGACAAAGTTTTGAGGACAGTAAGAGTAAACAAAGAGGAAAATGAATTGAAAGGCTTTTGTGATCATGTATTTGTTTAATTTTTTTCTGCTAGTATTCAAGTTCCTTGCACTGGGATAGTCATCAAATCACTTGGAGTGGCATCCATACTCTCCTCTTGGGAAAAAAGTGGCCTGTTTTGGAACTTTAGCTTTGAAACAAGTATAGACTCATAGGCAGTGCCATTTTGGTCACCCCAAGTTCTTTATTGCCTTGCATAGAAGAACTAAGTGATTGCAGATATCAGTGGAACTTGTTCCATGAACTTTGTAAAACATGAATCAAGGGTGAAGGGAACAAGGCTACCTTTTTTTCCCTTCATTCATGAGCCTTTATCATCTCCATTTTATGTGATATTTAGAAGAAATTTAAGTAGAGAAAAAGGACT